TGCTATTAGAATATCATCCATATAGAGCAACAAAATAACAAATGAAATTACCTGGTCGAAATCTGAAGTAAACACAGTGGTCGAACTAACTTCTGATGAAACTTATGTGTGCCATGAACTTGTCGAATCTCCTATTCCACTGTCGAGGAGATTGTTTCAGTCCATATAAAGATCTATTCAGTTTGCACACATAATCTTCCTTCCCCCTTTCGACATACCCTTCAGGTTGCCTCATCAGGATTGTTTCATCTAGATCACCATACAAGAACGCAGTCTTCACATCCATCTGTTCCAGTTCAAGGTCGAACTGGGCCACCATGGCAAGCAACATTCGAATGGATTCGTGCTTCACAACAGGAGAGAACACATCATTGAAGTCGATACCTTCTTTCTGAGTGAACCCCCTAGCAGCCAATCTTGCCTTGTATCTCTTCGACGTCACTCCTTCGATTCCTTCCTTAACTTTGAAAATCCATTTACAGCTGACTAACCTGGATCCAGTAGGTTTCTTGATCAGTTCCCAGGTGTTCTTATCATGAAGAGATTTCATCTCATCATCCATGGTCTTCAACCATTCAGTCTTTTTTCGATTCCTCATAACTTCCTTATAGTCTTTAGGTTCTTCGTTTAGAACCTCACTTGCAGAGATTAGGCATAAGCTATAAAACCTGCATACCCAAGTCTCTGAGGTGGCTTGATGACTCTCCTCGACTTGTCTCTTGCTAGCAGGTAGTCATTATCAGTCTCCTCATCTTCGACAACACCTTCTGTGTCTTCTTTGACTTCATTTGGGGTACGCAATTCAACATCAACATCCTCCACCTCAACAGGAATCTCTCTGTTCCAGTTCTTCGTCAACATCATCAGTTTTCTTGAAAGCCATCTCTGCTTCATTAAAAACTACATCTCGACTGGTGATACACCTCCTGTGACCTGGCTCTAGGCACCATAACCTATAAGCTTTGACTCCTTCAGGGTATCCCATGAACATGCATTTCAGAGCTCTAGGTTCGACCTTGTCTTGCCTAATATGAGCATAGGCCACACAACCAAATACTCTTAGTCTGTCGAGACTAGGTGGATGTCCCGACCAAACTTCTTCAGGTGTCTTCATTCCTAAGGCAGTCGAGGGACATCTATTTATCAGGTAAGCTGCTGTCGAAACAACTTCCGCCCAAAACAGCTTCTTCAATCCAGCACTAACCAACATGCATCTAACCCTTTCAAGAATTGTTCGATTGAATCTCTCAGCTAAGCCATTTTGTTGAGGAGTACCTGCTACAGTCTTATGCCTTGCAATCCCAGACTCAATACAGTAACTGTTGAACGCTTCGTTGCAGAATTCAAGGCCATTGTCAGTTCTCAACCTCTTAACCTTCCTGCGAGTTTGAGTTTCGACCAGAATCTTCCAACTTTTGAAATTCTCAAAAGTTTCATCCTTCGTCTTCTGAATGAATGCCCATAGCTTTCTGGAATAGTCATCAACGATGGATATAAAATACCTTGCACCTGAGTGTGAAGGATTCCTTGCAGACCCCCAAAGATCAGCATGAATGTAATCCAAGGATCCATGTGTTTTTTGCTTGCCTTTGTTAAACTTCGCCCTACAGAATTTACCAAATACACAAGATTCACAAAATTCCAACTTTTCGACTTTGTCACCTCCTAGCAGGTTCTTCTTCCCCAATTCGACCAGACCTCTTTCGCTGACATGACTCAATCTCATGTGCCATAATTCTGTCTTCGACATAGGTTTTGTGGATGCAACATTTTTCGAACCACTTAAAACCTCATCCTCAAGGGTATACAAGTCTTGTTTCTTCACGCCTCTCAAGACTTCCTTCGACCCTTTCATGACTCTTAGGATACTTTTCTCTCTTTGAAAAACGTATCCTTTTCTGTTGAATTCACCAAGAGAAGTCAAATTTCTCTTCAAGTCAGGTACGTACCTGACTTTATTCTTATTGACTCATCATGGAGCTTGAATCTCACAGGTCCAATACCTGCAATTTTGCAAGATTTGTTGTTTCTCAGCAGCACAGATCCACCATCTTGATCACATAGCTCCTTGAACAATTCTTTGTTTAGAATCATGTGCCAAGTGCAATCTGAATCCATAATTCAATCTTTTCTCGAGTCGCCACTTGAAACCACAAGAACATGAGATGAGTCGAAGTCATCTTGAACAATGGTTGCATTGTCATTACCTCCATGATCTTTCAGGTGTTCAGGGCACACCTTTCTTATGTGACCCTCCTTATTACAATGATAACATCGAATACTAGATGTTTCGCCACTATAAGACTTCTGTTGACTTTTACCTTTCTTCTTGTCGAACTTACCATCCTTTCGCAAGAATTTTTCCTTAACGGCCAAACCTTTGAAGGTTTATGCTCCTTTCGTTCGTTCAAGTCCTTAGAATACAATGCTGATTGAACTTCTTCAAAGGTCAGAGACTCCTTTTCATACAAGAGAGTTTCTTTGAAGTGACCACGTGTTCTGGGCAAAGCACACATCAACAACAGTGCTTGATCTTCATCATCAATCTTCACATCAATATTTTCAAGATCAAGAATCAGCTTGTTGAACATATCCAACTGCTCAGCCAACACTTTGTCTTCACTCATCTTGAATGAATATAAAGCTTGTTTCAGGTAGAGTCGATTCACCAGAGATTTGGTCATGTACAAACTTTCAAGTTTCACCCATAATCCTGATGTTGTAGTCTCCTTTGATACCTGTCGAAGAACCTTATCACTAAGGCTCAACAATATTGCGCTGTGGGCTTTCTCGATCATGCCTGTCTTTTCTTTTGCCGTTAACGCAGCGTCCATGGCTGCCTCACCCTTCAACGCTTCCAAACAACCCTGCTGAACCATAGGGCTTTCATCTTCAAGCGCCACAGGCCGAAGTCGTTCACTCCAGTGAACTTTTTAATCTCATACTTTGTTGAATGCATCTTCTCCACGTTCACCACACCAATTTGTTGTGAATCGGATACCTTAAAACTAAGTATAAACAATTTCTTAATGATCAAGAAACACATAAGGGTTAGGGTTAATAAAGAAGAAAACAATAAGGATTGCTTATTAAACTGCTATTCTTTCCTTTCTTTTAGAACAAGATTACAAGTATACAAGAATAACAAAATAACCTCTCTCTTGAGATTAGGATTTTATCTTCCTATTTTTTTTTATGACAAGATTGAGAAACTAGTATTCTATTTATAAGAAAAATAGCACACTAATCTAATGGGTTTTTTTAACAATTACCCATTACAAGCTAACTTAGGGTCTGTTTGGTTAGAGATAGATGGAGGGGAGGGGAGGGGATATTTATAAATATTTGTGTTTGGTTCATTTTTTATAAGGGGAGGGGAGCAAAATTCCTCCTAGACTCATATTTTGCTCCCCTCAAATTGGGGGATTTGGAGGAGAGGGAAGATTCATTATTTATAATTTTATTATATTCCCTAATTTAACCTTAATTATTTTTTTAATTCCATGATTGTCCTTATTGAATAATTAAATATTAGTGATGGATGATTTAAACATCAAATTTACTAAATTATTTTTTTTAAAATAATATATATATATATATATATATATATATATATATATATATATATATATATATATATATATATATATATATATATATATATATATATATATATATATATATATATATATATATATATATATATATATATATATATTAATAATAAAGAGTAAAAAGTCCAAAGTATATTCAGTATCAATTCTCCATAATATTATTATTTTTATTTATAAATAAAGAATCAAGAATCAAAATTATTTATTTCTTATATTTAGTTAGAACTTATTTAGTTTTTATATTTAGTTAGAAAAGTTGAATAAGAATGTCAATTTTTAGCTAATGAGATTTTTTTAATCAATTACATCTTAAAATTTTTAGATGTATGAAATTTTATGTCTTTTGAATTTTAGTTCTTTTGACTTTTATGAATATTTTGTTTACAATTTAATATGTTCTGGATATTTTGCTTAAATTTTAATATGTTTTTTTTGAATATTTTGTTTTAATTTGTGTTGTTTATGAATGAACAAGTTTTTATTTGGTGAAATTTACTCAAAACTATTTTTATCTAGTATTGTTTTTAGTGTTACTAAACACAAGTGATAATATTCGTAAGGATAAAAATGTAATTTGGTTTTAAAATCTCTCCCCTCCTCTTGTGAACCAAACATATATGTAGTTAAAAATCCCTCCCCTCCCTTTCTTTGAACCAAACATACATTAGTTAAAATACCTCCCCTCCCCTTCCCTCTCCTCCCCTCCCCTCCGTTGAACCAAAAGGACCCTTAGGGTACAAGCTAACTTAAACAATTGGTCTTACAAGTAAGGCCCAATTCAACATGCTAACAATCCTAATAATATTGACTAATGCATGTTAGGACAAACTTCGACTACGACACGCATTACTCGCTAACAGACTTCGACCATACTAGAGTTCGATTCAACATCTCACAAAATGATTAGCACATCTCAAGGAAATTCAGTGTCGGTTTTCAAAAGGTGAAGTTTAAAACTATTTTCTTCTTACCCTTGACATGGATTATATCAGGAAAATCCCCGGCTGACATTGGCTTTTATATTTATTCATTCAATGGAATTAATTAGTTTAGGTTTGATAATCTTTGATCTTCTAATACTAGAATATGACACAGGCAAGTTTTAACTAGATTAGAGTCTATTTGAATACGCTGACATGTAGGATATGCATGGTCTTAAACAATTGTTTGGCATCTTTTTTTCTTACGTGGAGAAAACAGCCTTTTGAGTTTAATCAACTCATCTGAGCTGTCAATCTATCTATAAAGGCATAGCATACTCTGGTTTGGCACTGTTAGGTTTATTAGTTATGTGTGATATCATGATTATGTCTAACTTGTCAAAATTATCTTACAAATTTTAACAACTTAGGTATCAGGTATAATATGGCATGTTCACTTCTGCAGCTTTATGAAAATTTCAGTCAGAAACATGTAGTGCACAGTTGGACAGAAAGATTGAGGCTTTGGCTAAAGGAACTGTCAGTATTTCAAAAGTCACTGCTCCATAATGACAATGCTTTGGATGAGCAAATAGGTGTAAACCAAGTACCAAATGAAGAACTCCCTATTTGGCTTGCAGCTCAGAGGGCAGTAGCTCGATATGAAGGGATTTTGTCACCTGTTGGTCCCCGTGAAAGGCTCTTGAGGAGATTGCTTTCTTGGATTGGACTCATTCCCCTTAAATCAGAAACACCTTTTCAGGTTGAAAATGATGGTGACTCTCCTGAACCTTATCTAAGGTTGCTCCACAAACAGCTCTTTTATTACTGTCTGTTACCTTCGCTAGAAGCTCCTATTATTTGAATCATAAAGGAACAGATTTTTTTCCACGATTCCAAGAAATCAGCTTTAAACTAATAATTTTGATTGCAGCAACAGTGGGGTGGCAAAATTTAAGCAATGTAGTATAGGCATATATAGTATATCTACTAAATATAATTGAATACCAAAATACTGTCTATATAGCTTTTTCATGTCAAATACTTTAGGTTCTTACAAATTGTTCTTGCTCATCCAACGCATGTAAAGAATGTCTTGACAGTATCAAACCAACTTAAATATTTAAACCAAATATATTTTGTCCTGAACTCACTATTCAGAAGTATCAGAGTGTTGTGAGTGTCTATTTTCTCAATGATCCATTTTGGAGACAGAAATGGCACCTTTCTTGAAGGTTCGGTGCTTCATAGCTTGAAGCTAAACTCAAACAGTATTATTATAAATGGCTTTAAACTCTATTAACATTAAAAGTTCATTCCATTATCATTTATGCATTTCTTTTTGCGCATTGGAAGTGAAAGCATACTGGTATGGCAGGGGAGTAGGTGGCTATATGGAAGAGTAGGGTCAGTGCCAGTTCAACTATCCGCAGTTTGACATTATTTATGCATCAACTCTCACTTTAAAACTGGTTATAATTTATTTTTAATGTCTTATACTGTTTAGTAGGTAGTAATGACTTTGAATCATGTATAAGAATGAAAACTTGAAATGGAAATAGTTTGGATGCACCATGAGTGATAAAATATCACCGTACTACAAATTTGTGTTGATTTCATGTTTGCTATAGTGTAGTTTAGTTGAAGCATCATGGTTTGACATGACCAATCATTCAAATTCTACATCCAGGCCTACTTTTTTATCAAGGATATCACTTAGTGATACATGGAGACCTGCAACAAGGAAGTACTGCGGAAATGATCCTTGGAAAATGTTAAAAACTTCCATTTCCATACTTTTCTCAAAATCAGTCCTGCAGGTATTACCCATAATCTACATTTTTTTTGTAGGGCTACATAAATATGTATTTAGGAAAGCCATTATGACGACATGTCTTATCTTTGGGACATTCATGTATAAACGGGATTCTCTTCCTTTTTCAGCATTTTGCCAAAAAGTCAAAGATAGATTATACATCTATTATTACTTATAAAAATTTGATGCTCTCCTAATTTTATCAATAACGATTTATAGAGGTTTCCAATTTTTCAGACAGGGAATTATCAAGTTCATTGTTGCAATGCAATAGTTGATAGAGTTCCTTACTGGGAGCATTTTTTTGAGGAGTGATATAATTATTCTGGAAAATTGATCCAAATCTTATTCGTTTGCAAAATAGGAACCAGCCTTTGAGGAATTAATTCTATTGTATACCGAGGAAGTTGGAGAAACCAATGGTAAAGATAAAGCTGAGGTTCCATCATTGCAGTTAAAGATCTACGAGAGAATTCCTTTTCCAGATTTAGCGGTAATTATTTTGCCACTACAAAGGCCGTATGATGTCGGATGAGAAAACTCTTCTTGGTGTTGTAACTTAGGGTTTTTATATGTTTGATTATTGGGATGATATTTAATTTCTTTGCAGGTGGTTTTTCCTCATAAAAAGCTATCATTCCGCATCATAGACACCGTAAGAATCTTCTAGAACTCTCACCTTTCCTTTTTGATTTAGTTTTAAATTCTTTTTTAAAGTCGTATGCTATGTCTACAAGTGTTTCTACTAAAATTTCCCCAATCAAAGCAAGCACTTTTTTTGTCGGAACCTTGTCCAGTTTACAAGCCAATACTTGTCTGGGTAATCCAGTCTTTAAAAAATATGAATGATAATGATGCTTAACAGTTGACACAACTTTCTTGATAATGTTAGATAGTATTCATACTTCATTTATTTTTCTGTAATAATTCAATAAGAATGCAGTGATGAAATTATTTTAGAATATTGTTTGTAAAAATGTACCTTGAATTACCTTATTTGCTTAGTGTTGTAACTTTTATCTGCAAACTTACAGGTGCGCTTGGATATTGCCACAATTTTGGGACTCCTGGCATATTTTATAAACTACAAATTTGAGAATGTCTTATCTTCCCCGTATGTACATCTGAATTTCAATTTTAAGTGTGGTTCTAGTTTTCTCTCAGTTAGGCTCAATTATCTCCGATGCTAGATAGTGTTACATCATCTATGAAACTGTTAGAGCACCTGTTTACAATATTTTACTTACCTTTTTACGTCAGATCAGCTGTATTACTTGATGTAGTTGCCGTAAGTGCTCTAATAATATATGGGAGTCGTGTGGCTCTAGGCTACAAACAGACATGGGATCGGTATCAGGTAACATGATATTTTCTTGTGCTATTACACAAAAATAATATAGTTCTACCTTGAGCATTCTATGGAAATGTAACTATCTGAATTGTCAAAAATGTTATGCTGCAGCTATTAGTGAACAAGACACTTTATGAAAAGACATTAGCAAGTGGCTTTGGCTCAGTACACTTTCTTTTAGATGCTTCTGAACAGCAGCAAGTGAGAAACTTTGTCTCTTATGCTTTCCTTGTATCTACATTTTCAGTTTCCATCTATAATTTTGATGTTCTTTGGGAAGGGGGGCAACCAATGCGCTGAATCAATTGATTAAATAAATGGTGCTTAATATTTTTCCGCATGAAATCATCAAAGTAATAATTTTATTTATCAATTATAAGGTATAATTTATACCCATTGCACGAAAGTTATATTTTGCTGTGTAGTTATTCTGACTGATTGTGTGTTGAAAGACAACAACTCTCTGCCAGGACTTGGGCTGTATTCGAATCTGGTTAAAATTGTGTTGTTTGTGATCTTTCGTAAACTAATTAATACTATTACTAGGCAATTTGAACTTGGTAAACTTGTTTCTTCCAAAATTTTCATGTGCAGTACAAGGAAGCTATTTTGGCTTATGCAGTGCTGCTCAAAGCAGATAAGGGCCAGGTTTGTTAAATGTCCTCTCCCAACTTGGTTATGCTATCTTCATGTAGTTTTTTTGTTAGTAATAATTGTTTGCAAAGCCAACTTATGATATTTCTAAAACGCAAACATTCCTTACTTCAGGTGACTTCTCGGCAAAGTGTAGGAGAGGAATGTGAGAGATTCATGTATGAAGTTTTTAAAGTGAAGGTAATCTGAAGTTAATACTTAAGTCTGTTATGCAGTAGTAGTACTGACTATAATCATAGCATAATTTGTATTCTTATACTGTTTGAAATTGCCAGGTTGAAATGCCAATTGACAAGGCACTCAATACGTTATTAAGGCTGAGCCTAGCAACTGAAACCTGTATTGATGGAAATCATGGATTGTTGGCTGTACCTTGTCCGCAGGCCTATGAAGGCCTTAAAGAGCGATGGAATAGTTTGTTTTGTTAAAATGTAAAATTTGTATGTTTCATTAGGTACTGTAGAAACAACCTTTACGACTTACCTTGTGTTGATATATAAAACAAAGTTTAGACCTTTATTAAGTACACGAAGCTTAATTAAAAGCTTCTGAATCCTTTGTGTCAATTCAATTAGTTACGAGTGTTTATTGTAATTCTGACTAGTCAATTCAATTAGTTACGAGTGTTTATTGTAATTCTGACTACTCTGCAGGATTAGATTGAGAAGGTAATAATGTTTGATTATGAGTTCACATCAATGAGTAGGATTAGATTGAGAAGGTAATAATGTTTGACTATGAATTCACATCAATGAGATAAAAGTGTAAAGCTCTGGAAAAGTCCAGTGTTGTCAAGCTGAAAGTCAAACTCAAGAGTAACTAAGGTTTGACCGAGGGATGGTTGGTATATTTGGCTTGACCGGTAGTTAGGTTAAGCATTTACTAGTCCTTTGAAATTGAAGCAAAAGGAGAGTGTTTATTGATTAATAATATGAGTTTAGAGTTAGAGTGGGAGTCTCCATCATCATCACCTCCTACACCTCCCTCTCCACTCCCTATTAGTTATGGAGCAGGAAACAATAGATACTCTTTCTCAGCTTCTTCGACTCTATCACCACCTTTCTCGTCTCCTGAAAATCTCTCCTTCCTGCATGTGCCATCTGTATTTTCAGTGGATCTCCAAGATCCTCCAGAATCGGAATCCAAGAGTACATGCCTCAAGGACTTGTAAGTATGATCAATCTCTTCTCTTTCCTTCAGAAGCATATATCTATGTCTATCACATTCTTTTTTGGAGACACTCACCACTCAAGTAAAATGATGACAAGACAACACTAACTAAATTTCCACTCAATAACAACAGGTTGGAATGGTTTATACAAAGATGTTGCTCACTAACTAAATTTCCACTCAATAACAACAGGTTGGAATGGTTTATACAAAGATGTTGCTCTTGCTGTTGCTGTAACAAATTTCCTTCCATCTCTCCAACACCACAGAGCAATGGTCAAGATTTTGTTGCCATACATTACAACTCCAAAACTTTCTGCTCAAACAACATCTAACCTGCTTCTCTTCATATTAAACAATTTGTACGCTCCCTTTTTTCTTTTTTGGAGAACAATGTCATTACATAAACATATGTTCGTCTCATGTTAACTGTCTTTTATAAAATTCAATTTATTTTGTAATATATAATAATATTCTGAATGACCGTTTAAAATAAAATAGGAGTATTGTCAAATTTCTTTCTCTCTCACACACTCGCCCAAAATTGAAATTATAAATGTGAATTTGATTTTGCCTTATGAGAGTTTTACACTTTAAATAAAATTTAAATAGATTCTACATTTAAAAAAAATATGTATCATATTAAGAGTTGGAATTTATTTAATTAAAATAATCCAAAACAAAAGGTTTTTTTTAACCCTTCTTGATTTAAATGAAAAAACTTTGGACTAGAAAAGTTATAAAAAATTCGAAGTACTAAAACCTCATTTAACTTAATTTTAAGTACTAAAACCTCATTTAACTTTAAATAAGGTAAGGGGAAGAGGCATAATTTGTTGTTGGAGGAGTTTTAAATGGAAATTGAAATTTTTTACTAATGATGTTTTTTGGTCTAATATGTAAAAAACACGAAAATGTAGTTTCAGAATGAGTGCCACATATAAGTGTTCAAAGTGAATAGATTTAAAAGAAGAAAAAAAAGATTGGTTTTTTATTCGAAATTCGTTAAGGATTGGGGTCCTCGTGTCTACGTATCTCCATTGTAAAATGAATAATCAGAGCTTTGTAATTCATAGTAGAAAATAAGTGTTTGTTAGTTGATTTTACCTTGAAAAAAGGCTTTCGGAGTGATGTCCTAAGGCGCAAAAAGAGTTTGATGAGTCGATGTCGTTTTTAGGATTTTTGAAAGGATTGTTCTTGATCAGGATTACACTAAAGACTATGGATAGAGGTAGATATTTTAAACTATCAAGTCAAGTGTCTTGTGTAAAAAATACTCAGAGTGAGGGCAGAAAGCTTCATTCTCACTCCTTCTCCAACACTTAAGCCTTGTGCCACGCAATTCCAATAATATCTTATTGTGTTTTTGAATTTATTGAAAAAATGCCGCTTGATGTTGGATCAAAGGTTTTATTAATGAAAATGTTGCTTGACGTTGGATCAAGGGATTTAGAAAGTGGTGTAAAGAAAAGGTTGATGGCGACACACGAAGCGATCGACTTACAAGGATTAAGATAAAATGTAAGGTCGATCCTAGTCCATAAGGATAACTAGAAAGCAAAAAAACATAATCAAATGAAAGCGGGAAAATAAAGAAAGTACACCAAAATCGGGAGAGGGATACATGAAAAATACAGGGATTTATGTAAGAAATAAAGGGTCTCGTTGTCAGGTAGTCCAAGAGAAAGTCGCGCGCGTGTGTGTGTGTGTGCAAGGTGTCCTAATCTATAAAAAGAGAAGAAAATCAAAGGTTACATGTCTCCATTTGCTTGAGGATATTTGTCATAATTTTTGATCCTAAGATACCCACATTATTTGTATCTCACACATACACTTTTATGCATCACTAACCCATTTTAGAAAGTCAAGATTTTTGTTTGCTTCATTATGATCTCCAATTAGGATTTTAAAACCCTACAAAGGATTCAGGAAAAGGATCAATCAAGAATTGACATGATCTTCAACTTATCAAGTCCCTCAGTCATCCATGAAGATAAAGAGATCCTATTCACCAAGAGTCAAGGACAAAATTACATCATTTCAAGTTGGGCAGACCTTAAGATCATCTGTGTTACTAAATCAGGGGTTTGACCTAATTCAATCCCTAAGATGACTTATGGAGGAAGTCATGATCCAAGACATCAAGATATGATTCAAGACACTCAAATATACCCTTGAAGTCCATTCATAAGTTTAAAATCACCTTGGGGATACTCATTCATCAAAAATCAGGAACTAGGTTTTTTCTACACAAAATTCATCTGATACACAAAGTCAAAGTTTGACTTTTTGTGCAAAATTGTTCATCATAAGCCATTATACAAGAAAACATGATCCGTTGTTGTATTTGAACAAAAATTGATAAAGAAATCAAGATTACTTGCAAAAACTGATTAAAAATTAATCAAGAAATCAAACCATACATTACAACTCCAAAACTTTCTGCTCAAACAACATCTAACCTGCATCTCGGCGTATTAAACAATTTGTACGCTCCCTTTTTTCTTTTTTGGAGAACAATTTAGGTGCAATCCTATCAACAAAATAACTTCATTACATAAACATATGTTCGTCTCATGTTAACTATCTTTTATAAAATTCAATTTATTTTGTAATACATAACTAATTTTTATATAATAAAATTCAGAATGATCGTTTAAAATAAAATAGGAGTATTGCCAAATTTCCCCCCCCCCTCTCTCTCTCTCTCTCTCTCTCTCTCTCTCTCTCTCTCTCTCTCTCTCTCTCTCTCTCTCTCTCTCTCTCTCTCTCTCTCTCTCTCTCTCTCTCTCTCTCTCTCTCTCTCTCTCTCTCTCTCTCTCTCAACCAAAATTAAAATTATAAATGTGAATTTGATTTTGCCTTATGAGAGTTTTACACTTTAAATAAAATTTAAATGGATTCTGCATTTTAAAAAATATGTATCATATAAAGAGTTGGAATTTATATGAATTTAATTAAAAAATATCCAAAACAAAAGGTTTTTTTTAACCCTTGATTTAAATGAAAAAACTTTGGACTAGAAGTTATAAAAAAGTCTAAGTACTAAAACCTCATTTAACTTTAAGTAAGGTAAGGGGCAGAGGCATAAAGGCATAATTTGTGAGAATTTTTCAATCCACCATTTGATACTCTTAGGCACCTAACGCATTTCCTTTTATACCCCCTACTTTCAGAGATACATATTTGGACGCAGCTTTTTTTTACTATTTTTTTTTCCAGAGTTATATCTACGGAATAATTTTATACTAGTAAGCACTGGGGAAAAACATCAAAATAATTCAGTTCAGGGATGCACCTCCGGAAGTTTCTGCTATATTTGAAACCTGTGTGATCACTCTCTCCATTGTTGTGTTTTCTTCTTCCACGCTCACCTTCACCAACCTAAAAAACCATACATTCTCAATATCATTTTTCACTCCAAAACTCCAACATTTTCGTACAACAAATCAAAGGGAGGAAGAGAAGATCGAATTTCAGATAAAGATTGCACTTTGCCCACTACATTGCTCACATTAATTATCAAACTTTTGGAAAAAAAGTAACGTTGCTTCCAGAGTTGTACCTCCGGAACGTGTTGAAGATGAACACTTCCGGATGTACATCTTCAGAACGTGTCTGTGACATGTTTTTTACAACAGATTTGTAATTTTTGTTTATTTTTCTTATTGTTTACAAATAGATATGGTGCACCCCGATAATATCTCAAAATAATTAGTTTCTACAAACGATGTTTCTCTGAATGTTCAAGGGGTTGTCATAAAGTCGATAGATGTCGACGTTGACTTTAATAACAAGCAAGATTTTAATGATCATGGTAGCATGCTCACATGGATTCTTAGAATTGTAACTAGACTTGGTTTTGGCGTGGTTATAGGAAGATCAGATAATGGTTCGAAAAGAAGAAACGCTTTTGTAACTTTGTTGTGCGAAAGAAGCGGGAAATATCAGACTCCTCTACGAAAGTTTAAAAAAGACGACATTGGTAGTAGAAAATGTGAATGTCCTTTTAAGATTTGTGGTTACATGTTGAGTACCAAAAAGTGGAAATTTAGTGTTATTTGCAGTTTTCATAACCATGAATTGTGCTTAAAGTTACAAGATCATCCTAGTGTATGTCGGCTCAAGCTGGAAGAGAAGACATGTATTAGTGGCATGACCTTGAATCTTGTCTAACCGAAAAATATACTTGCCACATTGAAACAAATCATTTTTTAAAGGATGCACAAATTTGAAAGGTTGAACAACATTGAAAAGGAATCGAATGCGGAAAATTCCAAAGGGGTATCACCAATAGATTTAGCCATCGACACTTGTTTTGATTCATTTTGGATTCAGGAAAAGTTCTAGAAAAAAGTTTGACAGAAAATGGTTGGTCCATATTCACATAGGTTTTCTATAAATTTGGGGTTTCATTCATTATCTTTCACACAAATACAAAAATGTCTCAATTGTTCGAAATCAAGATACGTTGGTATGTTGCAAGTGTCTCCTTTTCGGATGGCAAAACACCCAGGAGGACGTTCAAGCTCATGGATCTCACCCCCTCGCCGATATCATAGACGAGATCCAATATCGCCTATCTTACAATGATAAAAAAAGGTTGTGAAGCTTGAGTATCGTTCACCTTCAGTTGACAACGAAGGAAACATTGTTTACAGCAAGTTTGAGCTCAAGAATCAAGATGATGTTAGGGAGATGTGGCAAACGTATTTCAGTTTCGAAGAGAAAATTTCGCTCGATTTAGAGGAGTAGATCTGATGAACGACCGATGACATCTTAGAGACGTGCAAGCGTCTACCAGGCTATTAAAGTATAGTATTTAAATTTCTGTCGAAATCATCAATGTAACACCGACTTTATTTTATGAATGTTGATTTTATTATTGCAATGTTGATTTTCTGGTATTCTGTTTCTAGTTTTCTTCCGTAAATACGTGTCATACCCCAAATTTGTCCTACCTGTGTATAAATTTCATATATACCACCATCCACTAACCACATTCCAAACAAATCCAAAATATGTCGTCTCTGCTTTCATTCTTCTTACTGCTTAACTCAAGTTGTTGTAAAATTCATTTGAGGCTATCAGAGCAGTTGTGTAGGCATTTTTGGTTGAGGTTAATTGGTTTTGACCCAATATTGGTCAAGCAAGAGTTTGTTTCAAGATCAAAGCCAGGATGTGCATGATTCAGGTGACGTGTGGGTATGAGGCTTTAATTAGGATTTGTGTGCCGATTAAAGTCATATGTGTATGGATCATGTCTCGGGTCATCAAGGAGCAATTCCTTTCAACTAGGATTTTTTGTGCATTCGTGATACAAATTTATGTTGCT